TCATCGTTGTCGGTGATCAGGCCTACCACTGTTGTGTCGTCGGCAAACTTAATGATGGTGTTGGAGTCGTGCCTGGCCATGCAGTCATGGGTGAACAGGGAGTACAGGAGGGGACTGAGCACGCACCCCTGAGGGGCTCCCGTGTTGAGGATCAGCGTGGCAGATGTGTTGTTACCTACCCTTACCACCTGGGGGCGGCCCGTCAAGAAGTCGAGGATCCAGTTGCAGAGGGAGGTGTTTAGTACCAGGATCCTTAGCTTAGTGATGAGCTTTGAGGGCACAATGGTGTTGAACGCTGAGCTGTAGTCAATGAATAGCATTCTCACGTAGGTGTTCCTCTTGTCCAGGTGGGAAAGGGCAGTGTGGAGTGCAATAGAGATTGCATCATCTGTGGACCTGTTGGGGTGGTATGCAAATTGGAGTGGGTCTAGGGTTTCTGGGATAATGGTGTTGATGTGAACCATGACCAGCCTTTCAAAGCACTTCATGGCTACAGACGTCAGTGCTACGGGTCGGTAGTCATTTAGGCAGGTTATCTTAGTGTCCTTGGGCACGGGGACTATGGTGGTCTGCTTGAAACACGTTGGTATTACAGACTCAGTCAGGGACATGTTGAAAATGTCACTGAAGACACTTGCCAGTTGTTCAGCACATGCTCTGAGTACACGTCCTGGTAATCCGCCTGGCCCCGCAGCCTTGTGAATGTTGACCTGCTTAAAAGTCTTACTCACATCGGCTACGGAGAGCGTGATCACATAGTCATCCGGAACAACTGGTGCTCTCATGCATGCTTCAGTGTTGCTTGCCTCGAAGCGAGCATAGAAGTGGTTTAGCTCGTCTGGTAGGCTTGTGTCACTGGGCAGCTTGCGGCTGTGCTTCCCTTTGTAGTCTGTAATAGTTTTCAAGCCCTGCCACATCCGACGAGCGTCAGAGCCGGTATAGTACGATTCAATCTTAGTCCTGTATTGACTCTTTGCCTGTTTGATGGTTTGTCGGAGGGCATAGCGGGATTTCTTATAAGCGTCTGGGTTAGAGTCCCGCTCCTTGAAAGCGGCAGCTCTACCCTTTATCTCAGTGCGGATGTTGCCTGTAATCCATGGCTTCTGGTTGGGGTATGTCCGGTCACTGCGGGGACGACATCATCAATGCATTTATTGATGAAGCCAGTGACTGATGTGGTGTACTCCTCAATGCCACTTTTTTATTAACCGAGTCACTGGTGCTTCCTGCTTTAGTTTTTGCTTATAAGCAGGAATCAGGAGGATAGAGTTATGGTCAGATTTGCCAAATGGAGGGCGAGGGAGAGCTTTGTATGCGTCTCTGTGTGTGGAGTAAAGGTGGTCTAGAGTTTTTTTTCCTCTGGTTGCACATTTAACATGCTGGTAGAAATGAGGTAGAACGGATTTAAGTTTCCCTGCATTAAAGTCCCCGGCCACTAGGAGCGCTGCCTCTGGATGAGTGTTTTCCTGTTCACTTATGGCCTTATACAGCTCATTGAGTGCAATCTTAATGCCAGCATTGGTTTGTGGTGGTAAATAGACAGCTATGAAAAATATAGATGAAAACTCTCTTGGTAAATAGTGTGGTCTACAGCTTATCATAAGATACTCTACCTCAGGCGAGCAAAATCTCAATACTTCCTTAGTATTTGATTTTGTGCACCAGCTGTTGTTTACATATATACACAGACCGCCACCCCTTGTCTTACCGGAGTCAGCCGTTCTATCCTGCCGATGTAGCATATATCCCGTCAGCTGTATGTTGCCCATGTCGTCGTTCAGCCACGACTCGGTGAAACATAAGATATTACAGTTTTTTTATGTCCCGTTGGTAGGATAACCGTAATATTAGGTCATCTAATTTATTTTCGAATGATTGAACATTGGCTAATAGGATTGATGGAAGAGGCAGTTTACTCGCTCGCCATCGGATCCTTACAAGGCACCCCGACCTACGTCCACGATATCTCAGTCTCTTTCTCCTGCGAATGACAGGGATTTGGGCCTTGTCGGGTGTCTGTAGAATATCCTTCGCGTCCGACTCTTTGAAGAAAAAATCTTCGTCCAATACGAGGTGAGTAATCGCTGTCCTGATATCCAGAAGCTCTTTTTGGTTATAAGTGACGATGGCAGAAACATTATGTGAAGAATAAATTACAAATAACACGAAAAAACACACATAATAGTACAATTGGTTAGAGGGCTGTAAAACGTCAGCCATCTTCTCCGGCGCCATTCTCAACTCTCAATGATGTTAAGTTCATAATATTGAGTCAATATTTGTTTTCAACTGCATGCTTGTTGAATAGAGTCAGATATGCAATGAAAGAAATTCGTCCCTGTGCTTACATGTGCAAACACACATGGTGGAGAGCGGACTAGGCATTGTCCGATGTGTTTTACCACCATAGATAAGGGATCAGCCGTTAAGCATTCGCTTTACAAGGCTAGAAGACACTTATTGTTGGCTTTAAAAGGGACCAAGCCCATAAAACACATCTCTTCTTTCACTGCCTAAGTACCTGCGATAGATATAGCAGTCAGTTTGGGCCCCTGACGAGCCTATGTTACAGATAGTTGCGAGCAAAACGTTTTGCATTTTGTCACAAAATAATTTTCAGACTCAGAGCATTGTATGTTTTCTATACTGTATACCTTTTCCTTTTGCTAAACTGTCCAACATAGATGGAAAATGGACTCATGTGCGCTGTATAGCCATTTTATGGTGCCACATAGAACATCTATACCTGGTGACATAAAGGAGAACGTAAAAGAGCCATGCATCTTCCTTCATCTTTCCCTTTCTCCTTCTATCGCCTATCTCCGTCCATCTTCCTTCCTTCCTCCCTCCCTCCCTCCCTTTATCTTCCTTCCTCCTTCCTCCCTCCATATCCCTCCATCCATACCCTCCATTATATGATTCTGGCACTGGTGTTTCCCCTCGAGACAGCCCTCAACCCAGTGTGTCATATCGCCCACTCACATCATCAGAAGGAGCCCGCGCACCATCACCCTCCCCGCTCTCCGCTCCCCACCTAGTCTCCGCCTGCTCCCTGTTCCTGCCTGCCTGCTAGAAGCACCACCAAGCCAGGCTTCAAACGCCACCTCATTTCAAAGGGCTGAGCTGTCCTCCATCTTTCTCTATCTTTCTCTCCCTCCCTCTCTCTCTAAATGATCTCTATTTCATAGCACCAAGATACAGCACATTTAGATGGATTAATTCCCTTCCAACATGGTACTCTGTCTTAACAATGGAGTGTTTTTTTTAATGGCTTTTGACATCAAAGATGGTATAAAGTACAAAGATAGAGTACCTTTTACATTTGTAGTCAGAAATGTAGCCCTATGGATTATAACTGAAAGGTCATGTTCACCTATTGGAACAAATGAGAGGTTTATACCAAGACATGAACGAACAGGGAAGAGAGATAATATCAAAATGAAGACACAAGCAGACATGTGTCACAGACCTGTCTGTAGTTAGCTTGAAGAAGGAGTTGCCCTTAACCACAGATCTAGGATAACATTGTCCTACCCCCAATCCTAATAATTTCTATTAGAGGGATGGAAAAATATCTGATCCTGTATCAGTGGTTAGGGAAAACTGAGAGATAAAAGAGCTGTATGTATAAACCAAACCCCACTTTTTACCCGAGGACGTAAACAGAATCTAATCAATACTCTACTTCAGTCAATAGGGCCACTTGACAATCTGTTGGTTTTCTAAGGAACCTGGAAGATCATGATGACTCCTTATGTCTGCGTAAATGTATTTTCAGACGCTCATAAATGCAACAAAATTGCACCTTCTTCGGTATAGATTTTTTGTAATTCAGATGAATGACTAGAACCTAAAATAATTGAATGTGGTCTTCCCTAGCACAAGAGTGGCAAAAAGGAACGTTATGGAAAATTGCTTTCAAAGTAATCGAAGGGGATTCTATCTGGGTCATCCTCCACAATACAACCCATTGTCCTAGGAGAAACATGCAAAGGACAACAGGAGAACCAGCTAGTAAAAGAGACGGAGGCAGCAACAATGTGCAGCTAACCTCTCCCACCATTTCAGAACCACAGAAAGCTGAAATCAATAACTGCAGGACTTCATATGAGCATGCCAAGCAGAGAGCATCCCAGATATAGACCTTACTGGTTTGACACTATATGGAAATGTATTTATAGAGTCGATGTCCACGCCCCCGCGGAAATCTAATTAGCATAACAATAAAAAGTCCCATATAAATCCGTCAGTTTAAGCACTTCCGCATCTGCGGTGAAAGATGACAGAGCTTGAGTGGTGTTTGTCAGACCATGAGACATCCCGAAAATCGGTCTTCTCACAAAATCATCTGTAGCGTCCCAACAGTTTGGCCAAACTATTATGACCCCTATTATGGAAAGATGAGACTCTCACGAAAACCATCCGTTTTGCTCTACGACCCCCACAAGCGTCTTGGGACTCGTCTGAAGCTGCTTGGTCTGTTTCGCAAGCGTTCCCGGAAGTCTTGCGATGTTGCGCCTCTGGGTTTAGAAACTCGGTGGTTAGATTAAAAGCAACTCATTCATGAAGAAGTATTGATATTCTGATATTCTTTTCAATTTCTGAATGAAATCTGCAGTAGTTTTGAGGCCATTACCATGTACTTGGTATAACCTACTTTTGGTGCCTATTTTCTGTAGGCATTATATCCAAGCCAGTAACCAGGGGCTGTCGATGCCTTTTTCACCTTTATATCGATGTGAATAAACTTGGCTAGATTGAAAGTATGGTGTCAAAACCAATTTCTCAGTTTGACATGAAACATGAGATTAAAAAGTGTAATATTTAATTTAAGAATTAATACTTTCCTCGCGGCACGGGTTGGATGGAACAATACCGTGAAGCTTTCTGAAGTGATTATGTATGCTACTATAAGAAATCACATGGACTTCAGCACTAAACACACAAGTGGCATGACTAACATTGGTTTTAATCATAGCTTGCTACAGCCCAAGACTCTCCTAATCAGCATATTCATACTGCACAAGAATGAGTGATTTAAAAAATACAACTGTATGCAAAGACAAGATGATACCTTTGATAGATACGCTTGTTAGGGGCTAGTATGTCCCTTGACGAGCTAGCCTCAAATTGTAATCATTTTTTCGCAGTGGCGGGGGAACTGGGCCCGTTTCCATGGGAACCACTCTGTGTGTGTGTGTGTGTGCATGTGAGCGTGTGTATGCATGCATGCATGCGAGTGCGTTTTACTTACCCTGCGGTCTTTCTCCAGACGCTGTCTGTGGCGAAGGCTGCGTTTGCTCCTCCTCTGAGGGGTGTCCTGGGGGTAGAAGTGAAAAAGGCCCTCTCCAAAGGGGAGCTGGGAAAGAGAGAGAAGAATGGCGTGAGAGAAGGAAAGAAAGAGAGAGGGAGAGGAAAGAGATGAAGGGATGGAAAGGAAAATGGGGGAATGAGAGAGAGGGGTTGATGGAGGCACAGAGAGTGATGGAGGAAGGAGACAGGTGAGAGAGGAAAGAGTAAGCAATGGACAGAAATATATATATATATAGAAAGTAATGGAGTGAATGACAGAATGGAAAAAGGAGGAAGGGGAGAGAGAGAGAGAGAGAGAGAGAGAGAGAGAGATGGAGAGAGAGAGAGAGACAGAGCGAGGGGGGGGGGGGGGGGGGGTCAGCACCACTCCATTCTGTGGAATCACAGGGTCTATTTTAAGAAAGTGTGCACTGCTTGAATGAACTACAATAAATCACAGAGGGAAGAAATTAGATGCATGGTACGAGCGGTGCCTAAGGCTCCTTAGTCAGATTAAAGACCTCCATACGCTGTAATAAAGGCTGTGGTGCCAGGTCACAGTTTTCAATGAAACACAGTCTAATGTGCCTGTCGGATCTATGTGAATCAGTATGCTTATGCAGCTATGGTAATGTATGTTTACCAGGCTCCCCTCCACTCAGCCAGTAAGACTGGCAGTAAATAGCCGATATGAGAGGATGTTCAAGAATATATCCTGGATTCCCTTTTCATAGGGTGTTACGTACAGTAAATGCTGGTGATTCAAAGTAAACATTAGGGAATTGGCTTAATGTGTGTGTGTGTCACTGTACAGATATTGTTTAATGGCGTGTGTGCTATGGAGACAAATATAGCTGGAGATGACATAATCTAGAGAAGATGTATGTGTGAAGCAGTGAAGGAGTGGATGGAGGGGGGTAGCCTACTGTATGATAGAATCTACAAGGAAAAAGACTAGCAAGTAGACACTTTCAGAAACCAGTTAGAGATGCTGCCATTAAACCTCAGTCAAAACAACACACATTCAGTATTTAATCATCCATGTCAAACTACACATCAAATCTTCAGTAGCCAAGAGAGACATGCCATTGTTTTGAATGCCGAAGTGAAAATCTTAATTCACAACACCACAATACCCTCGATTTTTTGCTTCGCCTCAGTGCCTTGCTCCCCAGCCAATTGCACCCACCCTCTTCTTCTGACATCTGACAAGGCAGTTCAGTCAGGGGAATAATTTTTCCTGTTGAGACATCAATGGCTGCTTAAGGTGTTTGATGTGTGATGACAAGGTCTGCATTCACTGGGCTGTTTAAGAGCATTGGGCCAGTAACTGAAATGTCGCTGGTTTGAATCCTTGAGCTGACTAGGTGGAAAATGTGCCCTTGAGCAAGGCACTTAACCCTAGTTGCTCCTGTAAGTCGCTCTGGATAAGAGTGTCTGCTAAATGACTATTCTGTAAATTATAAACTGCCACATCTGAAGACAAAGTACTCTGCTGGTTTCTGATAAAATGGTTTTCTACATTGAGAATTCATTGAATTGATCTATGATAAAGTGTATGAAGAGCATGCACACATTATCAACTGAATAATACTTAGATAATCTTGCTGACCCGGAAAATGCTCAGTCTAAGTGTATGGAACAAACACACAAATGCAGTGTAGGCTTACTTGACACCTTGGCATGTACTCCAAAACAAAGCACCAGTGCTCTAGCAATTGAACATGTGTGTGCAAAATAAGCTCAATGAATGGGCTCAAGGATAAGAATTTACTCAGGCTTTCACATAGCAAGTGAAAGGATCTTCTATGGTCACACTTTATTTGGATATTCCAGACTTTCCATCCGTAGATGCCCTACAGATGGTCATACTATCAACAAACTATATTTTGATAAGCAACTGCTTGCTAAGGTTACGGTTAGGGTTAGGTTTAGAATAAGGGTAAGGGTTAAGGTTAGGGTTAGGGCTAGGGTTAGGTTAAGGGTTCTGTTTAGGGTTAGGACAAGGGTTAAGGTTAGGGTTAGTAGATAGTTGAAATGTTACTGATAGTCTGTAGATAGTCTGTAGAGCTGTTACCAGGTGTGTGTGTGTGTGTGTGAAAACATAGTGACCTCATCAGAATCTTTATGTATGTTTATTCCTTAGATTATATCCGTATATTTATTCAATCCTGAAGAAGGCACTCTGTGCCAATACGTTGGTTAGGTGTACCCATTAAATTGTTGGGAGCATTTTCAGAGTGTGCAACTTTCTTTCTTTCTTTTCATAGTTTACCCTCCGTTAGTCAGCACCTCTACATGTTTTGGGTGTGCGTCAGCTCAGGTAGCCTAGCGGTTAAGAGTGGGGCCCGTAATCAAAAGGTTGCTGGTTCACACCTCTCTGATTCAGATGGGTTGGTCTAAATGCAGAAGACACATTTCTGTTAAATGCGTTCAGTTGTGCAACTGACTAGGAATCTCTTTTCCCTCATGTGTTTTACTATTCCTTAGATAAGGCCTTCTCATTTCAAGCCATTGGAGATATGTAGCATTCAGTAGGTATAGTGTTTGACATAGACCTATATTTATGAACTGACAACAACTATTTTTTAGGCTGAGGCATTACCACCCCTACAGGTCATCAACTAACTAAATGAGTTTTCAATTATGTCTTGAGTGGGCAGAGTCCTCAAGGATGATCCCGGTGGAACTGATGTTAGGCTGCTATTAGCCGGCCCTAATTCACATAATCTATTAAGGCCACATTTATAATTTCCAAAATGACTGGGGGCCAAGAAATGTAGTGGCAATATGGTGGCAGTTTTGGACCAAATTTAACTGTTTGACAGTTTCAGTGATAGCATTCGAAGAAAATGTTAGAATATAGCATAAATTAAGGCTGACGTCATATTTATGTATCGAATATGAAGTTTAGGCTAATGCCAAATAAACCGAGATATTATGTAACAAAATAAATGATGGAGATCAACTTAATTGATGGTCGTCTGAAAAACAAAGCAAATAGGCCTAGGCATATTTCAAATAATATGCAATCTATTTAAATGTTTTAATTGAAGTCAAAACAAGTATTTATGTTTCTAAAATAATAGCCAAAATAATATTTATAATATTCTAGGCCGTTTCGAAATGAAAAATGGGAATATAATGTTTTTCAAGTGGAGTTTAGCAATACAATCTGGGCATGTTCATCAATGCAAATCAAGCTTTAGGCTTGATAAGAATATCGAATCAACAACCCATTAGCCTACATGATGCTAATTTTCTGCACATAATGTCCTATGTCTTACCTTCCGGGCGCTTTGAAACCCGTGCTCCGTTGCAAGTTGGTGTGCTTCATCGTGTGCACCTTCATGCAACTGAACCAAGAGATGATTTGTAAAGATCCCTTCCTCCGTGGCTTGTGTTGCAAGAACCAGCAAGTTTAGTAATATCAATCCAACTGCTGTCCCATATCTGAGAGATCCGAGCATCATGTCTGGCTTGTATCAGGGTGCCTGTCGGAGTGAATTCTGCGGGCGGGATGCTCCTCTGAAGAAATGTCGGAATCAGACCTTTTGGTGATACATCTCCTCTGCTGCTGAGGGCTAGTGGAAGTTGGACCGTCCTTCGGGTTTTAGCGTCTCTTTGCTGTGTGGGCGATGGTACGATACCAGTCGATGGGTGGTTGTGTTTGGGACCAAACCTGCATCCTCAGCTCTCTCTCCTCCTTCATCTATCATTTATCAGCTCCTCCGTTCGGGTTCTCTCCTCGTGACGTTCCACCAATCGGCGCTGGCGGGTGTGTCTCTCTGTCTCTCTCTCTCTCTCTCTATCTCTCTCTCTCTCTCTCTCTCTCTCTCTCTCTCTCTCTCTCTCTCTCTCTCTCTCTCTCTCTCTCTCTGAGCTCTGGCGAGCCTTGGTGGAGAGGAGTGCCCGCGCTTTCACGCGCACGAGGACACTTTCAGGACCCTGGAGAATTCCTTCTCTGGTCAGATTTGGTGCTGAATACCTAAGTAGGAAAAGCCCGGTAGGAAAGCCCTGAATAGAAACACCTACAGCAACTAGGCCTACATTGTGCTCCTCAAATAACTTTGTGTATGATTCCTTGCTTTGTTAGACCTCCTGGTGTGCAGAAAATTACATCAGTGTCCAAGTACAGTGCCAGGCATAAACATTGGCTGCATTTTAGTCATTTGGCAGACGCTCTTATCCAGAGCGACTTGCAGCAGCAATTACAGTTCAGTGTCTTGCTCAAGGGCACATCGACAGATTTTTCACCTCTAGTTGGCTCAGGGATTCGAATCAGTGACCTTTCAGTTACTGTCCCAACACTCTTAACTGCTAGGCTACCTCCCAGCCCATATAGACTTTGTAGCCTTGGGTATAGAAAAAGTAGTGCCTCAATTATTTATCTTAGGCACAAGGATGTAGACTGTAGCCTATACTTGAATGGACAACATATTTTACTGGTGGTATTACTGAGAAGGGCTGTGGTCTCTATGTGGGCAGCTGGCTCTCAGAAACAGGGGAACATGACAGCTTCTCCTGCAGCTGAGCACCAGAGAGGGAGGAATGAAAAAGGTGAAACAGAGAAGAGAAGACTGTAATGAGAAGTAAAATGAAACAAAGAAAAAAAGCCTATCTGGTACCCAAGTCCTTTGTAGATATTGGTGCAAGTGTGTGTGGAGGAGATTTGTGAATGTGTGTTTGGGATTGGGCTCCCAGATACATACAGATTATATTTTGCTGTGTGATGGGTCTGAGGCTATATCTTCTGCTGTGTGAAATGAACCCCATCTGGCCACTCAGCTCTCTAAAGTGGGCATTGATTGGACGTCTGAACCCAAAACAAACCAGGGTACAGGTCTTTGAGTCCATAACACAATGCCATGTAGACGATTCATTGCAATGACAAGATGGTGTGAATCATCTAAAACCAGCCATGAAAATTCGGTTGTTTTCATTACGTAATTGAAAGGACACTTGTCGGTCGATAGAGCATATCTTTGCAGGTCTTTGACTCTTTATAGCCAAGGGCAGACTCAATGGTGCTCTTTAGGCCTTGACTGGAATCAACAGGAGAATGGAGACAATGTAAGGAGCTTGCAACAACACAACAACAGTCAAAGCAATCATTTCACCATATCTTGCACATTATTCCAGAGCTGTGTTGTACACGACATGCCATAGATCAATGACATCCCACACTGCTTTATAATAGGCCACATGTCACATTGTGACTGCCCCTGAAATGTCGATTTTCTCAAAGAGAGAGCATTATCTGCTGAGCATGTTTGGGGATATTTGGAGTTGAGCGCATGCCGAATGGCGATTGGTTTTCATGCTCTACAAGCTTATTCGATGATTACTTCTCTCATTACAATTCGCAGACACAATCTTAAATAAGGACAAGCCGAAATGTGTGTCATGATTCTCAATTGAATGATTCCATGATATCTATAGCAGTATTTCTCTCAGGTACAGTGACCTAATCACGAAGGTGTAGGTTATCTGAGAATCAGTACAGAGGAAACCAGACATGAGTCATCTCGGACTGCTATAATTTCCTTATTTCTTTGACTTTTCTATTATAACATCACACAGGTGTTCTATCGATCACTTAAAGTAACTCTGTGGCAATTACAGTAGATAACATTAAAAAACAACATACCACATAAAGGTTTGGCAAGATGGATCATGCAAGGGAATATGTATGTGGTATTGTCCTACACTGGCCTGATATCATCATAGAGAAAGACATAGATCCTACTAATGACTTTGTTTAAATATACAGTATAGGATCATCTCCAGTAATCAGTGTTTCCATCACCCTTGCAGACTCCCTCCCACACACCTGCCTTTTTACATTGGTGAGTCGATTATTTATTTAGCCAGGCAAGATACGCCTCCTTATTCTTCCTGCGGTAAAAAAACTCCTGCTTGGTTTCCTCAGTGATTGATGCTCACTCCCATTTTGATTGGCACATCCTCTGGTACTGTTGGTCACACACTAGGCACACAAGGCAGCTGCAAACCAGTGTTGACAAACCTGCCAGGGAGTGTACAGTACATTCTGTTTTGGAGGTCTGAAATAGCAACTCTTTGACTCTTTTGTCTCACAAAATGTCAGTCTGTTTCTCATTAAAAGACTGAGATCCCTTAATCCATTCATTAAAAAAGCTATTTGATAATAATGACACAACAATACAGAGTTCAATTAACATTGTGTGGGGGTGTTCATTCATGTCTAATCCAGGTGAAGATAAGACGTCATCCCCATGGAAGCAAAGCCTCAGTCACATAACACATGACAGCCTAGTTCTCTCATCTTTCTCAAATCTTCTCTTATGTCACCTCAGCAAATACATTTGTTTCTGAGGATGACTTGAGTATACCATGACCTCTTCTCTAGGTAGACCAAATGGCTTTTCTCTTACTCTGTGTGATAGTTTCATATACTATAAGGGCTCGATTCAATCCGTAGCGCTGAAAAGCTGCACTACAGCGCGATAGAAATGTAAAGGCAATATTCCCGGCTTCCCGCATTAGCAGAGAATGCGTTCACGGGAAAAAACAGTGCATATGTCAGCTCAACTGTTACATTTCAATCGCACTATAATGCTGAACATCAGCTCTACAGATGCTATAGTTTCTCATAGACCAGCTGAGCTGGGGTACTAATGTAGCCTTCCCCAGAGAACTCAGTCCTGTGAATAAACTCACCACCTCAAAGAGATGTTTTATGCATACTGAAACATGCATAAAACATGCCAACGATGTCGCCATAGAGAAGATAATGCATAACATATAATGCTATCTAATGACCGAGTCATCAACTTTTTACTGTTCCATTAGAGAGCATTGTCTGAACATTGCAAGGTTATAACCCTAGCCTATTAACTGGGTGTAACCTCAGCACGGAGCAAGTCATTCCAAAAAGATCATACAACTTGTATGAGGTCATTGAAATGCATGGCTTCCCTCACAACAATCCTTCAAATGCTAGCTCTGGGTCATGGCTGTATTGGGTGTAGCTGTGTGTGTGTGTTTGTGTTTGTGTGTGTGTGTGTGTGTGATAATGTGTGTGTGTTTGTACGTGTGTCTGTGGTGTGTGTGTGTGGGGGGGGGGGGGTATGGGGGGAATCTCACCCTGGCAATCCTGGCTATCGATCGTAAGGAAGAGCAGAGCCCCAGACCTGCACCACACACACACACACACACACACACACACACACACACACACACACACACACACACACACACACACTACACACACTACACACACTACACACACACCAAAACCCCTGCTGTTGTTTTCAAGACAAGAACCCTCCAGGGTTGACCTTTCAGACAGACAGACTATAGATTGTTTTTAAAGGAGCAATCTGGAATTGGTACACACATTTTTTTACTTTTAAATGAATGATATTGTTACATTGTGTTCATGTGTGCTATCTGTGTACTGTATCCTGTCTGAGAGAGTTGTTATCCGGCTGAATGAAGGTAAAATGATGCTCGCAAGGCAGTGCATGATGGTGGATAATGTCCCTTTGTGCTAGAGCTAGAGCACATGCCTGTACAAGTAAAGGTATGCAATAAACCAGAGATTCATGTCAGTATATTACGTTGTTGTGTGATATTGCGCCTCCTGTGAGTATTAGTTGTCATCTAAATGGGATGCTAGCTGTAGCCTACATAACTCTATAGTAAAACCACAACAATATACACTACCGTTCCAAAGTTTGGGGTCACTTAGAAATGTCCTTGTTTTCAAAAGAAAAGCAATTTTTTTGTCCATTAAAATGACATCAAATTGATCAGAAATACAGTGTAGACATTGTTAATGTTGTAAATGGCTATTGTAGCTGGAAACGGCTGATTTTTAATGGAATATCTACATAGGCGTACCAGAGGCCCATTATCAGCAACCATCAGTCCTGTGTTCCAATGGCACGTTGTGTTTGCTAATCCAAGTTTATCATTTTAAAAGGCTAATTGATCATTAGAAAACCCTTTTGCAATTATGTTAGCAAAGCTGAAAACTGTTGTGCTGATTAAAGAAGCAATAAAACTGGCCTTCTTGAGACTAGTTGAGTATCTGGAGCATCAGCAATTGTGGGTTCGATTACAGGCTCAAAATAACCAGAAACAAATAACTTTCTTCTGAAACTCGTCAGTCTATTCTTGTTCTGAAAAATGAAGGCTATTCCATGCGAGAAATTGCCAAGAAACTGAAGATCTCATACAACGCTGTGTACTACTCCCTTCACAGAACAGCGCAAACTGGCTCTAACCAGAATAGAAAGAGGAGTGGGAGGCCCCGGTGCACAACTGAGCAAGAGGACAAATACATTAGAGAGTCTAGTTTGAGAAACAGACGCCTCACAGGTCCTCAACTGGCAGCTTCATTAAATAGTACCCGCAAAACACCAGTCTCAACATCAACAGTGAAGGGGCGATGCTGACCTTCAGAGTTGCAAAGAAAAAGCCATAT